ATATATATAATATAAACCTACATAAAACCATGAATCATTATACATAGATAAAACTTTTGTGTGTGAAGTTACAGGGTCACATGCATACTTTGGAGTTTGAGAGGAGTTTAGAGATCACTCATTTCAACCTCCCATCAAGTGCCAGATTACCTTCTCTAATGACTTTTTAATTTAAAAATGTCAAATCTAATTAAGGCAATATCACACTGCAATTATTAAAACACAAGTCTCACAAAAATAGTTTATAAGAAAATAGTTTTAAAATATTGAAAACTAGTTTACATAGAGTGAAATTCACCTGTTGGCACTCAGTTCTCTGAGGTTGGACCAAGGTCTGCCACCACACAGGCAGAGGCTGTTCTTGCCGCAGGTCTCTGTGCTCTCCACAGCCGGCCACCAGCACCCGCAGCCAGCAATGCTCTCATTCTGTTTCCTTTTGTTTCTTTCAGAGTCATATCAAGGAAGCATGCATATAGGTTGCCTTTTGAGTCTACTTTCTTTCACTTTGCATAGTATTGTTGATATTCATCCATGCCTTTGCATTTATCAGAATTTACTTTTTTTCTCTGCTAAATACCATTCCACTCCATGACTACACCAGTTTTATTAGCCATTCACCAGTTGAAGGACATTTGGGTTGATTTCAGGTTTTGGCAATTATGGATAAAAGCACTACAACATTCACATTCTGTTGGGCTCAGTGACACCACCAGTTTTACTGGTGCCATTACCTTGTGGAAAATGGCATGCCAGAGGGTTTACCTCAGTGGTTCTCAACCTTCTGGCCCTTTAAATACAGTTCCTCATGTTGTGACCCAACCATAAAATTATTTTCGTTGCTACTTCATAACTGTAATGTTGCTACTGTTATGAATCATAATGTAAAAACCTGATATGCAGGATGGTCTTAGGCGACCCCTGTGAAAGGGTTGTTCAACCACCAAAGGGGTCGCAACCCACAGGTTGAGAACTGCTGGTTTACCTTAATGTCTGTTCTACCCTTTACTTTAGGTCTCCCCATTGTACCTGCACCTAAGAGAAGGTTCCTATCTAGGATCTGGTCCACTCCTTAGCAATAGAGTGCTCTTGTTGTAATTCTGTTGCGTGCACATTTGGTTGGAGATGGGATTGGCATTCTCTGTTGTCCTTGTTCAGCCTTATTCAGGGCATGCCTGGCATGGTGCCTTCTCAGTTATTCTGCCCTTTCTTCAGGTTTGGGGGAGGTGTTACTGTCTGAGTCCAAGATGCTTTCCTACCTTCTCTAACCCCAATGTAGGGGGTCAACCTGTGCTTTGAGGGTAATAGGGTTTGCTGCCCTTTTCCCATTGTCTTATGCTTTGGATCCCTAGGGACTATAGGGGAAAAGTACCTGGGTAGGGCTTTATGCCTTTCCTGCAGAAGTGGCTGCTCCACTATACAAGCTTGCACCGGAGAGAGGACTTACTGAGTTCTTTGCCTTGTCTCCAGGTTTTCTCCTGAACTTCTGATGAGGTCATTACATGCATTATCTTTTGTTTTTCCCCTTATTTTTATTAATTTATGTACACCTGTCTTTGTCCTATAAACAAGTTAATTTTAACCATATACTGTATTTATTGCAGTGTTTGATTAATTCTTAGTTCTATAATCATGTGCTTTTGACATCTCATTTATTTTTCACCTCATTCTCTTGTTTCATCTCATTTTGTCCTGTTATTTAAAACTGGAGGCCCGGTGCATGAAATTCATGCACGGGGGGCGGGTCCCTTAGCCCGGCCTGCACCCTCTCCAATCTGGGACCCCTCGGGGGATGTCCGACTGCCGGGTTAGGCCCGATCCCTGCAGGACATCCCGGCAGTTGGACATCCTTCTCATAATCCGGGACTGCTGGCTCCTAATCACTCACCTACCTGCCTGTATGATTGCCCCCTAACCGCTCCCCTGCTGGCCTGATTGTTGCCTAACTGCTCCCCTGCCAGCCTGATCACCCCCAACTGCCCTCCCCTTCAGGCCTGGTTGCTCCCAACTGCCCTCCCCTGCCAACCCAATCACCCCCAACTGCCCTCTCCCACTGGCCTGTTCACTCATAACTGCTTTCACCTGCTAGCCTGATGGCCCACAACTGCCCTCTCCTGCTGGCCATCTTGTGACAACATGAGGGTGGCAATCTTGTGACGACATGAGGGTGGCCATCTTGTGACGACATGAGGGTGGCCATCTTGTGATGACGTGAGGGTGGCCATCTTGTAACGACGTGAGGGTGGCCATCTTGTGACTACGTGAGGGCAGCCATCTTGCTCAAGGGCGTCGTGCGAGGGTGTGACGCCACCTAGGCTTTTATTATATAGGATAATTAACATTCTTATTATTTCTTCCTAAGATGGTAGAGCTACCATTTAGTTTATGTTCCATTCAGGATGGATTGAAAAGTTTTGCATACCATATTGCATTACTCATTTTTCCTCACATCTCATATTTTATTTTCATCTTGTTCACTAACATGTATAACTCTACATTTATTTGATTTTTCTAATTGAGCATGAATGAATTCTTCTGGACTCTCATTCCATAAAACTTGAAACTAAAATCTATCTTTATAAACTATACTAGAGGCCCGGTGCAAAAAAATTTGTGCACTCGGAGGGGGGTAGGGGGGTCCCCCAGCCCGGCCTGTGCCCTCTTGCAGTCTGGGACCCCTCGGGAGATAACGACCTGCTGGCTTAGGCCTGCTCCCGGGTGGCAGAGGGCAGGCCCAATCCCTAAGTGCAGCCCCTGGTCAGGCTCAGAGCAGGGCCGATTGGGGAGTTGGGGCGCCGCCCCCTGTCATGCACAGAGCAGGGCCAATCGGGGTTGAGGAGCTCCCCCCTGTCACTCACAGAGTAGGGCCGATAGGGGAGTTGGGGCACCGCCCCCTGTCACACTCAAGGCAGGGTCGATGGGGAGGTTGCGGCGCCACCCCCTGTCACGCACAGAGCAGGGCCGATAGGGGAGCTGGGGCACCGCCCCCTGTCACACACAGAGCAGGGCCGATCAGGGGGTTGGGGCGCCACCACTGTCACACTCGGGGCAGGGCTGATGGAGAGGTTATGGCTCTACCCTGTCACACACAGAGCAGGGCCCGTGGGGGGCGGGG